CTGTTCTACACCTGAAAACTTTTCGAGAAGTATTAGTTGTAAAGTGTATAACATCATGTCACACTGATTCTTCTAATTTATTATTATAACTTCTCAGTACACCTAATCGATTGCCATCTATTCCAATTATAGACTTAATGTTCATCCCTGTGAATTAAAGTATATGAAACTACCATTATGATTATTAGCTCACTGATAATCCAGGTTGAGAAACTGAAGAAAAAGCGGTAATACATTGTTATTCTGCTGAAATTGTTGTTCTTTGTATTGCTTGTATTGTGTTCTTTGAGCTGGGTTGTTTAATCGATTAAACAACCCAGCTCAGAGAACACAATAGAACCAAGACCATCCACCTGAGCTACAAATATTCTCCATTATTTGTTCTTTGAGTTTTTGAGAAAAGGTATCAATTTGATTGCCATATCAACTTTCCATTTTAAGATTCTTGAGGTTGTCTTTTAAAGATCTTAAAAAGAATACAATCACCTTTACGCACTGTTGAATTAAATATAGTCTCGATGATACCCTTTTACAACAACTGCTTTATCCGTGTTCACAAAAGTACTCACTACTTTAATGTCTTTCTCAATATTAATGCTAGGTACGCTTGGATTTCCTAGCATATCCCTTTTTTAGGTTGCTTACACATTCACACATACAAAAATCCATGGGCTGTTCCATTTCTGCCAGTTTCTCGAAAGTGAAACCCTTATCGAAGAAAAATACTATTTTTTGTATTGTCAAGGTTATTATTATTATTTTATTATTTGCCCCTTGGATTCCTTGTGGAACATAGGGCTTCAGTAGCACGTCTCCAATCCACTCTGTTCTCTCCGGTCTTTTCAACCTGACTCCACGACTGCCCACAAGCTTTCATTTCTTCCTCATATGATCTCCTCCATGTCACCCTCTGAAGCCCAACCCGTTGTAGTTTGTTGGAAATGCTTTCCGTGATGCATCAAGTTTCTGAAGCATGTAAAAGCACTGACTTGACTGACTTAGTGTTTAAAATTTGGATCTCCCTCACACTTAATACTGAGTTCAAAAGATCTCCAATCTAGTTTCAGATTCCTGAAGGTCTGTCTTGCTGTCTTTCCGATATTGTATTTGACGTCCTCATCTGTGCCACCTGTAGTTAAAACGATACTGCCTAGGTAGGTGAAAGAGGCAACTTCCTTTCGGTTTCTGCTGTTGATGGTCATTGGTGCTTGTTGTTGTTGTTCTTAGTGCTGGTGGTCGGGTATCTTCATCACCTCTGTCTTCTCTACGTTCACTTGAAGCGTGTCCCGTCGTCGCTGCCTTGCCTCGCCTCTTTTGTCAACTTGTTAGTTTTCGCCTGTAGATCTTCGAGTTTGTATGACATTAGACACAAGTCACCGGCGAAATCAAAATCTTCTATACTTTTTCCACTGATCATACAGTGTATGCTCCTCTTCTCGCTCCTCACAGTTTGTTGCATGATCCAGTCCACCATAATCAGGAAGATGATCGGTGATAGTAGACGGTCTTGTTTTTTTTCACTCCCGTCTTCAATTCAAAAGCATCACTGAGCTTCCCATTGTGAATCACTTGGCATGTGGCGTCTTCATATAGTTGTTGAATGAGGTTGATAAGGGTTTGTGGCACTAAAACCGCATTGTTGAAGCAGTTGCTAAATTACTTGTCGGTTGAAGCTGTCGAAGGCCTTTTTAAAATGGATGAAGTTGAGGTAAAGATTCAGTTGACTGCCATTCTATGCTATGTTCTATGATGAGGCGTAGCGTAGCGTTGGAATTTGGTCGGCACATGATTTTTACTTCCTGAATCCAGCCAGCCAGCCTGTTCCGGTGGTAATTTTGAATCCAGGGCATCTTTTAGTCTCTCCAGGATGATGCGGCATAATATTTTGCTTTGGGTGGACAGGAGTAGAGCATGATTCCGCGCCAGTTCTTGCAGAAGTTTAGGTCTCCGTTCTTTGGGAGTTTGACAAGGTAGCCCTTCTTCCAATCGATGGACAGGTACCTTCCCTCCCTTTCCAGACCATCTGCAGTAGTGGTGTGAGCATGTCCGCTGTTTTCTCTTCGTCTGTTCTCAGTGCTTGTGGAGGAATTCCATCTGGTCCTGCTGCTTTACCAGTTTTCAGCAACTTTATGATGAGTTGCAGGTGGTGGTGCTGTGGTGGATGATTGAAAGGTTTTTTGAAGTGGTCAGCCCATCGTTTCCTTTGTTTCTTCTCTTTGGTAATTAGATTTCCTTCATCATCTTTTGTTGGTCTCATGTGTGTTGATCTCTTCCCTACCAGATAGTAACCTGGTTATTTGATACAATGTTGTCAGGTCTGTGTCTCTTCTACCAGCAGCCTGTTTTGCTTCGCTTGTCAATGTGTCGTAGAAGTGTCTTTTGTGTTTCCGTGCACTCTTCACTTCTTTGTCCAGTGTTTTATACGTTGTACTCAGTTCCTCTTCTCGTCGTTCATCCTTGCACTGGTTTGTCTTCTGCTTCACTATCCTCCTCTACCTGCTCTATCAGTTTCCATGTGTGCGTCGAGAACCATTCCTTATCTTCTTTCTTCTTCCTTACTAATACGGTTATGCAGGTTTCTTTCCACATAGCTTTCAAAGAGTTCCAGTGTTCTTCCACGCCTGATCCTTCAAGGATGTTGCTTCGTGTCTCCCATTTTGTCTTGATGGCTGACGTGAAGATGTCCTTTGTAGTTTCGTCCTTCAATTTAGTTTCCGTTCTGGGTGTTGAACATGAACTGTGGTCCGTTACTATTGGAAGTGTATGAATTTCAATGCTGTTCAACACAAAAACTAAGTAATTTTGTCTGTGGAACAGAACACTGAAAATACGCACGAAGAAAAAAATTCGTTGCGTAAATAAACTGAGGTAGTTCTTCATGGTGTGAAATTTATATGACGGCATGGGATCTGAGGTATTTAAAAGAGCATAAATAAGTTGTTTCAAGAGCATTGGAGTTTCCATTCAGGACTATTTTAATTACGTGCAAATTATTTGCAGATCGAAGTACCTAGAATTACAGTTTTATTCTAGCCCTATGGGATAGATTTCATATCGATGATGCCCCAATGTAGACCTCATAAGTCAATATTTTTGATACTTTGTTGCCAGGGGATGCTGGAAAATTGTTGATTAGTAAGCTTCATAATTATTTTAGATGCCACGGATACAGATTTCAAAAATAAAAATCCACTTTGCAATATCGTTCACATTCGTACAGCAGGCAGTGAGAAATACCTATTGTGCGGTAGCTAAGGTACCAACTGGCTACGGAAACCATAGTAGTTAGAAATTAATTTGAACTTGTGACCCTTCATTTAGAAATCAAGTGCTGAGACCAATCAGCCACAGCTTCGCTGGATACAGATTTATAGTCCTGTTAACTTATTTCCTCTAATTATGCTACCATTTTATATCTGTGGTATAAATAATTTCTGTAGTAGCAAAAGATGGCGGTTCACAAACTATGATATCGAAATTGTCACATAGTTGCTGTATTTCTGCGATACAATTCAACTCATTTCTAATTGTATGGTATAAGTTATCGTAAGTTTGCTATACGTCTTGTTTGCTTTTGTATGTTTGGCAAACTTAACAGTTTTTTTTATAGACATCATGATAAGTACAATATCCGTATCAACCGATACTCATTATAGTTGCTAGATAGGTCTAACAAAATAGATTTGTGCACAAAGTTGCCTTTAACTTAGGTTACACTTTGCGTCAACTCATAAGGATGTAAGGAAAGCTTCATTGCCTGTGCTATATTTATCCACGATTTTATGATGCACACTTCTGTCCTGAAGAAGTTCAGGTGTGCATGTGTTGGATATTTGCACCAGTTTGTTGTTACTAAGGAAATACATGTTTATAGAATCCAAAGGTGGTGACGTTGTTTCTCTGCTATTGGAATGTATGTCGTTTTCAACCTATGCACTTGGGTGCGACTTTCCGCCTAGTTATCTACCTGTCTTTTTATGAAACAGTGCATGAAACATTTGATCACAAATTGTAAAAACAATCCGTTTAATTCTATGTAAATTCACCATTAAATTGGTACGTAAAAATACTAACCCAACAGTCCTTTCTTTTCTCAGCACACCTTAACCCAACTACAATGCTCAAATCTGTAGTACACCTACGAATCCCTGTTGCATTCAGCATATGTCTAATTATTATTATTTGACAATCATTGACACGTTATTCAACAACTAGAAGAATATCATCTTGTATATGCGTACAAAACTGAATATCACTGTCTCATTAGTTCATGTTTTATCTCTAGGGCACAATCCGATCTTGTAATGATAACTACTTATGTTTAAATTATTTTTAGTGTGTACTAGAGAGCACTATCACAAATCAAGTACAGTATGCAATTGAAACGCCAAGTTGATGCTGCGATTGAGAAAATGGTCACAGTGACATATCTAACTAACTTCAGAAGCTTCTTTGTGTCATGTAAATTCCTCATATCTTCTGTTAGTTGTCAACCCATTGAGTTATTATTATTAAGTTTCGATAAGGTTATTTTATTTTGATTGTGGTTACCACTGATTGTTTAACTCATTGAAGACACGAAATAAACCAGGAAATTAATAATTCTTACTTGTTGTGGTACAGTTTCACGAATGGTTGAGTTACTTCGAAGATATCGGTGTTTTCATTTTTAGGTGAAAACAATTGAAAATTCATATGACCACGAAGTAAAACATTGCTTTATTGTATGTGGATACTACCAGTCCATATATTTTCATGAGCATTGGATGGTGAAATGTTAGACGATTGCAAAATGTTTGCAATGTTTGAAGCATAAAATGTGCGCATAGTTTGTTGAGCCTCTTAGTTTGCCTTCAAAACTATTCAGGAATGACGTGAACTGAGTGAATGTGGTTTTCAGGATAACAGAAAAATTTTACTTGCAAAACATCAGTCAAAAATGTCTCAATCATAACACAATAAATATTTACCATTGTACATTATTTGTTATTTTTTCTTAGACGCCTCTGGATAATGGAGAAACGAATGTAGACGAATTAGATAACAACAATTCGCTTAAGCGAATTAAACGAAAGGTTAACAGCTCCGATTGGACAGATACAGATAACGATGCAACAAGTCCAGTGAACAGGGGTCAATCAGACCTTGGTTCTGCAAATACAGATGCTCAGAGATTGGCTTTAATGATTCAAAATCAATTGGATGCAATTAATAAGGAAATCAAGATGATACAGGTAGGCTTTAGATTTTTGTATCTTGCAATATTGCTATATTGATGTAAAAAAACTGTATTTGGAAACCATTTTACTAGGCAGCTTAAAGTTTTATTCACTTTACGCATTTATAACGCATGTTTGTTCGAACTTTACTACCACTCATTATAAGTCTTTTTCTATCTCTATTTTGTTTTGGCGTATGGCGCCTTATATTTGTTGATATAATTCTTGCGCTTATTATTTTTGTATCATTTCTGTTGTTGTATTGATGTCAAGTATAGTGACTTAGGGGGGGGGGTACGCAGTAATACCGAGGTCTACGTAATTCATATAATTCACTTATTTCACACAGATACTTGGTCAGATACTTTGTTTAAAGTTTTATTTGTCTGAGTATATTTTGTGCCTTTGAACATCAATGTCGATTGGCCGACATATGTGAGGTTGACTGATCTCGTATTGGCACAGTTGTCGATCATTCACCACATTACTGTAAACTTGATTGTTTACAGCATGTTTTTACTTCGCTGTGTTTGGAATAAACCTTAATAACATTCACGATTATAAAGGCCTTACAAACGTCATACGAGAAATTATAATCCACTTGTAGCAATTAGGGAAACGAGTTATCAGGCCACTTTTAGGACATTTCGTACTTGAGATTTACAAGGTTTCAAAGCCTTTTTAGCTTCTTAATATACACCATCTAATAGGAATTTGTTAATAACCTTAGCGAAGCCAATATATTTCCAGATGACCGTTTAGGAGCGTTTCGAATTATGTAATGAAGAGTAATTTCATTTCTTAGAAGCTAACTTTTGTCAACCTGGCGCACGGGGTTTTTAAAATCAGTTCTAAAAACTTTGGAAGTAAAGAAGTTAAGCTTGCTTTTTTTTCTGGAGTTAACATTACATTACAAGTTTGCTAGTGAATACGTAGTAATGCATACTACTATCCTCTCAGTGTTTGGCAATGTTTGCTATACTTTCCTGTCACTACTGTAAAGAAGTAATAAGTCAGTTGATAAGTTGCTTGCTGAGATTCCTAGAAGTGAAATAATTTGAATAGAAGTATGTAGGGTATATCTGGAGTAATTGTTTTCTTTTTGCTCTACTTTCAAGTTGTCATGAGACATAAATGTTAATAGATACCATATAAGGAGTAAATTATTCTGAAACTGTTCATCGATCATGTATTATGCTGATTTATCCAAGTTAACCTGCAATATTCAGGCCGTTTGAGAAATTCACCTAAGCTGTTTTGTTTTGCCAGTGCATACCTTCAGTAAGCTTAGCAATAAATGAAATATTTGAAGGTAGTATTCTTCACAAACTGACATCGGTTAGGAAAACTGGAAGCACTGGACAGCTGTTTCATCCTAGTTTATGTGTCGTCAGGGGTACATTCTCATGACCTCACCAGAAATCGAGCCCAAAACCGTTAGTTCCTATGGCAAGAACATAACTTCACAAAATAAACTGAAATCCATTAGCTCAAATCTCTTCGCAGCCGACTTGATTGAACCTAATGGTCACTGCTTCTCATTAAAATTAGGAACTGACAGAGTTGTGGGTTCATACTGTTAAGGAGTCGTGCAATAGGACAAAGCAGCTGTTCAGTGCTCCTCGGTTTTCAGTGTTTCTCGAAGTAATGTCAATTCAGTCTCTACAAACTACCAGATTGAATAATTGAAAGAAGCTGGCATCTGGTGCTTTAATTATTTTGATCTGTCTAGCACAGCTTTGTCACTTGAATCTACTGTTTCCACCTTTCTATTAGTTTCTGACTAAAAATTGTTTGAAAGCTATATTTTATGTTAGAGGTATGTATGCATAGATTCCAACTTCGTCTAAATTGATTTGCGCGCGATAAAGCAAGTTAATTATAAACTACAAGATTATAATTTCGGTAGACTGTCTCTGAATTTTAGCAAAGTAACGGAGATGAACAAACATGCTTTTATTTAAGCATAGAATTTATAACAATAAATTTACATTTTTAAAAAACCTGACTAACTGTATAAACAGCAAGTAACCAAAGGAAAATATTTCAATTTATGTGTCATGATTTCATTCATATGCTGATCCAAAATAAGCTGTTCGGATTGACACAAAATTCTATGTAATAAAAAAGGAATACCTAAGATTATTCTCAAACATTACTAACTACTTAAAATTCGTGTAAATCAGCTGTATAAGTTTTATGTGGGATCCATTTTCACAAATTTTGTTACGGAACAAAAATGACGTTTAAGTTGTTAAGACTTGATTTTAGTGACTTCTGTTTTGTGAAAATAAATTGGTTCTTATTTGAAATGTTTGCGAGTGATAGCAAAAAGTATATATGTGCAGGAATGTGGTGTTTGGGGGCGTGATTAGAGGTGAGATTGATTGATATATATATATATATATATATATATATATATATATATATATATATATATATATATATGTATAATATCAAGAGAGAGACAAAGGCAGACTTCAGTGTGAACTACGAGTCATTTTCAAGTTGGGGGGGGGCTAGTAAGTTAGCTTTTAAGAATAGTGCATATGCTTTTCGAGATTGCCATTTTCGTTCTGAATCATCTAGTTAAGTTGACGTAGTTGATATCATAGAGCATCTTTTTAGTTTAAGAATCTGTTTGTCCCTCAGATTTCGTGTACAGGAATGAGTAAAAAGATCCTACTGACGTGTGAATATAGTAGGTGTTGGTTTCAACTGACTATATTAGTCGGTTATTGGTAGTGCAAAGTATTAGGTAGTTGATTCGTTGGATGGCAATTAGGAATGTAAAAACTGTCTAACATCTGATTTCCAGCGATTACATAGACCTTTTATCAACATTTGGTAAAATCCGTCTGTAAAATTCATGCGAAAAATTATTCATTTTTTAGTATTGCTTGTTTGACTTTTATCATACTCCTTGTTATGTATACAGCATGTTGTAATGGGAATGCATGGTGGTCGTTTCTTATCTCTGAGTACTAATCTTTACATTAAGGTTTTCATTAAACTTCCTTATTGATTCTTCTCGAATATGTTCACCTTAGCTTGTTTGAAAAATGATACTACAGAGTGTGTTCTTCTTACTTTGTGTTATATCAGTCCTGTTTTCCTTCTTAAACTGATTATCACGTTTGCCTATAATTTTATAGGAAGAGAAACAAACTGCTGAACAATTGGCTGAAGAATTAGAACTACGCGTGGGTACAAATCGTAATGGAAATGCTGACGGACAGCTAATTGATGATTTCTATCAACAGCAACAACGAGTTAGTGGTGCTGGTGGTGATACAAATGGAACATATTACTATTTGAATCAAGATTCACGGGTTCATTCGAATAATGTAATGCCGAGTTTATTGCCAAATTTCGGTCCGACTGGCTGGTCACCGCCTCCATCACCATTAAGTTCCAGATCAACACCATTTGGTGGGTTGTCAAATGATTCATTTAGTGGTAGTTTCAATAATCCCAGTCGTAATACATCATCAGTATTACCATCTGCACCTGGTAAGGAACCGGAAACATCACTGCCGCAATATTTGTCTCCAATAGATCCTCGCCGCAATCTTCAATTTCCATCGGCACAGTATTCACAGCCTGGTGGGGGTGGTGGTTTTATGTCACGTAGCAGTCAGTTTGAACAACAACGATCAATGTCCGCTGCTGCGCGTCCATTACATCAGGTAAGTGATTAAGATAACCATGCCTTGGACTGTCACTTTTTCTCCTCTCGGTATACAGCATCTTGATGATATCAAGTATGCATCTAATCTAGTGTATATGGATAATCATTTTTTGAGACAGGAAGTCGCCATCTGTGAAATGGTTGGATTTCATTTGGTTTATTTCGTTATCGTTATATGTGAATACTGTATATTGTGTGATAATACGATAGAGATCAAGGCTAACTGTAGAATGTCACATGGTAGTGTCGTTTAAATTATTACAAATAGTAGCAATTTTCACTTCCTGTTATCGGGCGAAAGCAGGAAATTCTCTATTAACCCATATTGTTTTGCATATGTATGAGAGAGACAGAAAATTAGCAAAACTAATATTGCTACTTCTAATTCTCCGTTGTTGATTGGACTAAACTGATCGACAGATGCATCTATCTGGTGAGTTACAAACAGGACGAAACGTGCGACCTGGATCCCAGTACTAGCCACTACCCATCAATATTAGTAAATTTTGTCTATTGTTTTTAGTGACCGAAATAAATAATGCTTTGTTTGAATATGAATTCGATTGTTCTGTAACAAGATTCTATACCGTTTTGTGACTTGGTTGAGATATAAACTTGTGAATATTTCATTTTCATACAATGTAAGCCTGATTTACCTAGTGTTCTGTGTATACGTATATATTAGGGGGGGGGGGGGGGGAGGGCAGGAGCGAAAGAAGGAAAGATGGAAAACTGGAAAAAACTGTGTTTCGTAAAATGGGTTCATATAAAGTTTTGTGTAAGAAATTGGTGGTAGATCTCATGATGGATGGATGAATTCTATATCTCGCTGTCAGATTATCGTTATGGTAAACTGAACTGTGTTCTAGAATCGTGTATGAACAGATAGTAATGAAAATGTGTTCATTAACTTATCCCAGTCATAGGATACTCTTAGAGTCGGTGACTGACGCTAATCATCATTATTTCTGAAATGTACAGAAATGATATGTACCTTAATTGCGCTTCAGACAACAGCTCAACAAATATGTACAGACTTAAACACAAATTTCAACCAACCATACCTATTTTGTGAGATTTAGTAGTAAATGTTTGGCCGTCCAAGTCTCTCTAGACGAAACAGTCAATGAACCTACAATTTAATCGTTGAGCTTCGACTACCTGATGCGATATGAGGCATGGCCTTTTCAGATTAAATTTTAAAAGCGTTTATTAGGAATGTATTTAGCTCAAGCATGCTTCGCTGACTATTCATACAGAGCTGAAATCTTAATATGATACTTATCTACAGTTTGTTCACTTTATCAATGTTTATTTAGTGATCATGAAGATTGATTTATTTTATCATATTGATCATCATTCCGTGCATTTAATATTGACTATAAGTTTCTTTCCTACAAGCTACTTCATTTTTCTCCATATCATTCAAGGGTTGTAGGAAACCTGACTTCATTTGGAATGCGATAAAAATATCTTTTAAGTACTTTTCCAATAGTTAATGATGTTGAAAATGAACAATAGACCACCTATGAATGTCCCATTAGTTTTTTTGGAACTTCATTCATATATTCAGAAAAAACGTATCGATAGGTAGACGATGAAGCTTATCACTATACAGGTTTTTTGAAGCTTTTAATACTCTAAAAAGACATTTGATATAATGGAGAAAAACTGGAAGATTATGTCGATGTTCACATTTCCAACAATGAAATCTGAAAAACTGTAGCTCGTTTAGGATATAAATGCATATTTATGGGCCACTTATGTAATATTAGCAGAACATGATCCAACCATAATCGTTGGTTTAACTTAAGTGTGTTCACTGTTCAGATTTAACAATGTTACAACGTCATTCCTCTCATAGAGCTACATGCGTCTTGAGTGTATCATTAACAAACTGTTTTAGCTGCAGGGTTTTGAGATTGATGTTTTACACTGTCACTCATTACGGGTAAATGGCCTAGTGAGACGCTGATTTTAATTTTGCCCTAGCTGCCAAGGTTTAGATAGGCAACTAGTATCAATAACAGTCATACATTAGACAGGAAATGTTATTTTTTCTATGTTACAGTCAGAAGCTGTTGTGCCTTCACTTGAGTCTTGATCTATTAGGATATTTGTAGTTTGATGAGATTCATCATACCGAGACTGTAGGCTGATGGATGTCACTTGAGTGTTCAAGCTGTAATGCTAAGAGAACATTTTGAAACTTGATCTAATAATTGAAAGTCGAGTGACTCATTCTTCGTTTAACAGTTCTTCAATAAGAACAAGTCAGTCAGACAGCGTATTCAACAGAAATATCACTTCAAGTATTTGTAATAAAATAGTTACGGGGTTTCATTTTATACTTCCTGGTTTCATAATTTTCACTCCATTTTCAACCATTTGATTTTTTATCTCAACAATGAGCGAAAATTTGGTTTGAAATACATGTTTTCATCGTTCTAATCTCGGTGAGAATTTCGCTGGCTATTATCATTATTTTTTAAATTTTCTTTTAATACACACATGATGCAAATGAAGTGTTTTGGAATAGTTTAATTCTGGTTGTGTTGTGTCAGCACTTATGTTCTTCTTTGGTCTTTATATGTGCACCGGAGACAGCTGTTATATCATAAGTCTAATAAGACTATAGTCCTGACTTATTGCAATTCTGACACTACAGATATCGATGGATATTTGTGTAACTGGGAATCGGGTAAAAAGGTAAGTGTGAAAAGTTACATGGCCTCAAATAATCAAAGTACTGACTCTGTACAGTTCATTAAAGGCTAGTTCCGAAGGGTTAGATAATAAAGACATAGTCCTACTTTCGGCGTTGAAATCATACTTTTTAACTGGGTCTCAGCTGATAGTATCTGCATCTTTATGAGCTAACTAAATAGGTATGAACTTGTAAGAACTGTGGCATTCTTCTCTCTTCTTGTGATCTCAATCTGCACGCTCACTAGCTTCTGTTCAGATGCTAATCATCTTGCTTCAGTGTGTCAACCTTTCAAGCGCAATGAAATCAGTGAGTAACTCTAATTTAGGAGTTAAAAATTAGATAGACTAGAAAGGCATGATGAATCCTATGCGAATGAACTAACAATGGTAATCACCTTCCGGGATTTTTTCCTACAAACACTTGATCCTTGTTAGCTTCAGGTATGACGGAGAATGAACAAGTAGCTTTGTAGAAACCAGAAAAAAACGTAATGAACTCAGGTGAATGATGCTGCTATTCTCTATCTTTATAAAAGACTGGCAAAATATTGCTGCTAACCAAGGTTCTGTACTAGAATGTTTGCCTCTTGGTGATAGATTACGGAGAGTTATCACCTGAAGTGACAAACAGAGATCCTTTCTGTCATCGCTGTTCATTATTGTTTGAAAAATATGGTTTCAGCAAATACTTATTCGTAATTTCTCATCAGGTCCTGCAGTTATATGTAGAGATTATTCAGTGCATGTATTTCATACCATACGAGTGTATGGATTAGAGAATAACGGTAGCCACAAATCACGGAAGATGTCATATAATCTAAAAAGTCAGTCGACGTGGATCTATCGATAAATGGTCTGTGTGTAGGGATACAAAAGAAAAACGTTTTTGTTGCATTGTGATTGAATAATATGATTTTTGAATCCCTAATCTATTATGAAGCCAAAGGCAGAATATTAAATTAAAACGGAATATAACGATGACGGTGACAAGAAGAGTAAAAAAACAAAACAATATTTACTCCTATCCAGTTTGATTGGGAAAGAAAATCATTGTAATTGTATCTGAGTTTAAGACATAGGTCATTAGAGGGAAAGGGATCGAGCCGAAAATCTTTGTTTATTGGCGTTATTTGTTAATATTCAATCTACAGGAAGCCTGGGGCTAAAATTTGTGTTACCTGGCACTTATCAGCAAGGCGTATCTAAAACCATAAGGAAACTTCGGTATTTTTGTTAATTTGAGCTTACATCACTCGGGACTGGAGTTAGAAACTTTACCACTAATCTGTTCACGTCTTCGATATGCTCAAATTTGACTGGAAAATGTTAATGGATATTGCCTAGTCTATTTCTGGCAGACAGATTCATACCGACCTAGAAAATTGTAAAGGTACTTTCTACGGAATAATAGTGGTTGACGTTTTGTGAATCTTATTCTCTATATCTATGCAGTGGATAAATGTGAAGTATTATATGAACCTTACTACTCCTTTATTACCTTGGATAGTTTTCTTATGAATTGCTAAAAATAACTGGAAACCTATACTCTAATTTCATATATTTTGGGCGGTAATGTCTTACAGGCAGAAAGTAGGATAAAGCGCAGCGCTGGGTGGCACACCCATACTTTAAGTAGTTTAGTATTTCTCTAATAAGTACGGAATAGGGCGTTGATAGCTGTAATCCATTTCGTTCACAAGGAGCCTACTGAGATTGATATCATACTTCAGACAGACGAACTAAGGGGAATATGCAATCATTGCAATTCTCATCACCGAGCTGTCAGCTCAGATAGATCCTGACATTAGATTTTCCTTTCGACAAGTGAAAAACGCAACCAGAGTACACTCAAACTGTTAGCTGAAGGTACAAAGAAAACATTGTATCTTTTACTAAGGTTATTGACTGATGGAATAATCTTTTCCGAATGGGAGATCAGTTCGTTTAAAGTCATATGTAATCGAAGTAACCTCTTTTGATAAAGAAGTTCACTGCCATCATTATTGAAAATATGTTCCCAAAAATATCTGTAACTTCTGATGACAGTAATAATGAGCTACGTTACTGTGAAAGCAGTATTGGCGTTTTTAACATCTGTGAATTATTTTACCACATGGTGGCACTCATATTGGAAATAATTATTGCCTTTTAGTTTCGTCCGTATTGTACTGAACACAAGTTGTATACTGCGCATTCATCATTTTAGGGGCTACACTTTTTGTTATAGCCTAAAAACAAAGGATCACGCGCGCACAAACGAGATTTAACTATATTTTGCATTTGGAATTA